ACCCAGTGGCTTAAACTCACGCTGGGTGCGTGTGTGTGTGTGTGTGTGTGTCCAGGATCCCGAGAGGCGAATAGAGGAGAAGGGATTGCGGTGTGGCCATCCCCCCTGGGGCGTGATTTCTCGCTTTCTATCTCTCTGTCTCTGTCTGTCTGGTGAGCGCACGCGCCCTACAGCAAAAACATCTCCAAAAACAAATTTCATGGGACATAGATTTTCATTGCAAACATCGTGTTTTCAAGATTTTAGTTTGTTTTCTGGTTTTTCCCAGTGTAATTATGATGTACCTGGACATGAATTTCTTTGGGTTTGTCATATTTGGGGTCCTCTAAAGTTCTTGGGAAGTTTCCTTTTTTTTTTTTTTTTAAGGTTTTAGTCATAGGGCACGTGTGCTCACTGGCGAGAGCCAGAGATACACAGAGAGAAGGAGAGTGAGAAATCAACCCCATACAGGGGATGGCTACTCCCCAATCCCTTTTCCTCCCTTCTTCTGTGATTTGGGGCACACATGCACATGTGCTCAGCAGGATTTTCAAGCCCTTGAGTCCAGGACTCCAGTTGTCAGCCATGTGGGCGTTCAGTGCCTTAACCACAGCATTATCTGCTCGTCTCTCTCTCCCTCCCTCTCTCCCTCCCTCTCTCCCTCCCAAGCACTTCATTCTTCTCTTCTGGAACTTTGATGACAAAGGTATTAGTGAGATCTTTTGTTATTTTCCTAGGTCCTTGAAGCTCTGTTCACTTTATTCAGCCTTTTTTTCTTTCTGGTTCAGATTGGATAATCTTGCTATCTTCAAGATGACTATCCCTTTTCTTTGTTGATTCCATTCTGTTCTTGAGCTTTTCCAGTGAGGTATTTTTTTTTTTTTTAAATTCTGGTTATTGCCTTTTAGTTCTAAATTTTCTACATCGTTCTTTAAAAAGATAGCTCCTATTTCTTTGCTTAGGCTTTCTGTTTTTTTCATTCTTTTGAAGAGTGTGATTGATTATTGGTACTTTTCAAATAGCTACTTTAAAATCTTTGTCAGAGTCTTCTAACTTCTCTGGCATCTCAGCACTGGTGTCAGTCAATTGTCTTTTCTGAATTGAACTTTTTCTAGTATGCTGAGTATTTGCTGACTCATTTTGAATCATGTCCTGGGCATTTTGTATATTATATTGTGAGACTATAGGGATTGTTTAAATCCTATGGGAAATTTTGGTGTTTTTTATTTTGGTTGGCAATCTCCCTACTTCATGTTGCAATTTTCAACTCTGTGGCTGTGATTCTAATGTCAAATCAGTTTTCAAAGTCTTTGCAGTGGTATTTGGATCTGTCCCAAGTATGTGACGCCATGGCCAATCGGAGACCTGGAGTGTGGTCTCTTTTTTAGTTCCATTCTTGGAGCCTTTAGTTTGATGGCCAGGAACAGATCCACACATCTGCAATTCAGGGCAAGCTTGGGAGCTCATGAACAACTTCATGGAATCACTTTTCTGAGCTCTTCTCTCTTTTTGACCTCTCCAGTATCTTCTGGATCCCAGGACTCTCTTTCGAGAGAGGACAGTTCAGTTTCTCTATTTCCCGAGTAACCCTGGTTATCTCCTGGGTTTTTGATTGTCATTCTAACAGGTGTGAGGCGATATCCCATGGTTTTTATTTGCATTTCTCTGATGATGAACAGTGTCAAGCATCATCGTGTGTTTGTTGGCCACCTGTATATTTTCTTTGGAGAAATGTCTATTCACGTATTTTGCCCATTTAAAAAGTTTATTTCTTTCTTCCATAAGTGAGATGAGAGAGAGAGAGCAGAGGACCCAACAGGGTCCTGCTGCTGTGATTCGTCCCCATCCTCAGATCATGGGCACAGGTGTGTGCAGTATGCTAAGGGAAGTCTCTGGATGTGAACCTGGAATCTTCCCATGTGAGTCACCCTTGCAGTGTGCCGTACTGCACCATTTGGCCCCACGTTGACCATTTTGAAATTAGGTTATATAATTTTTGTTATTTGTTGAATTCTAGTTTTTTTTTTTTTTTTTTTTTTTTTAAAAGGGTTTTTTCATAGGGGCC